GTATGAACTCGGAGATGCTCAATCAGATTTCCTCTCTTTGCAAAACTTCGTTTGCAATGATCACAGCTAAAGGGTTTCTCCCCTGTGTGAGTTCGCAGATGCTCAATCAGAGTTTTTTTCATTGCAAAACTTCGTTTGCAATGATCACAGGTAAAGGGTTTCTCCCCTGTGTGAGTCTTGACGTGGTACCATAAACTGCTGGAATGGAGGAACTGACGATTACAGAATTTGCAAAAGAGCCGTTCTCCAGTGTGAATCCTTTGATGACGTTTTAAATTGGACTTCGAAGCGAATTCTTTCTTGCAACTGTCACATCGATACTTCCGATTCGTTGACTTCTGATTATTTAAACCTGTAAAATACGATAAAATATAAATTTAAAAGCACTATCTAAAGATCAAAAGTATCTTCAATCTATTCAAAATAAAATATCTAAATTTAAGCACTATAACGTTTTGTGTGCAGATAGAAAACTAATTTGCAATTTTTTCACGAGTTTCCTTAAATTAAAATTTAAGTGTTACAACATATTCCCGTGATTCTACCACACCATACTCTAACTGCGTACACCAGTGTTTACATATATTACCAAAAGGCATAAATACTATCACAAATTAAAATGCCATTTATACATTCTTTCTATACATAATTTATATACAGTTTGCAAAAGAATATATATATAGATAATCATCTTCATTTAATTTTCTGCTTTTCGTCCTTTGCATGAAATATACTTTCTCCTTTGAGGCATTCTTGTATGATTTCTTATGACTGGTTTCAGTTTTGGTCTTCCGTAAACATAAGTTTAACACATTCTTCAGCTCTTACTAGAAATTCTCTTAATTGGTGAGTGATGGATCTGTAAATAACAAAAAGCTCTGTAAAACAAGATACGAGAATGGGGTTAAAACAATATTATCTACATCATATTGAATATGTTAAAACTAAAACTAATTCTTCTGAAAATTCTTGGGCATTTTACCCCAGAAAAGTAAAGCTTCATCGAAAACCTGAAAAAGAAAGAGATTCCAGTTAATATTCGTTATTAAAGTATATGTATTTACACACATTAAATTTCTTTCCACATAAAAAGAAAATATCTGCTGAAATCTCGACTTGTACTTCGTAACGAATCTTCCTTCTGTGTTTTCCTCTTAACGTAATTAACAAAGAGATTCTCTTCTTCATTCGAGACTGTAGATCATTTTGTTAGATTAATAAATTGCATTGATTCTATTGATTATCGAAGAAGTAACTATCTCTTAACATAAAGCTAACGTTATCAATAATTTGCCAAATATATTAACTTATTTTGGTAACCACTGAAAAAAGGTTTATTGACGAATAAGCAATGATGTGACTAAGGGGTACTGAAATTAATTTAAACTTAGGTAAGTCCTAGTTGACGTTTTATTATTAAAACTTATTATACTGGATAACTGGTTCTGCAAATTAAGTAAACAAAGTCAGAAAAACTGTCTTTATTTATCATCTGAACACATACACGATATCTTTGTGTTTCGGACTTATCAGCAGGTTTACCATCGAAAATCTCTAAAAACATTTCAATTTAAAATTGTAACAAAATTATTTATTTTGAAAAACCATAAAAGTTTCCGACAATAAAATAATTAAAAACTTATATTTCCTGGGTTTTTAAGTACAGGTAATCCCCGTATTACACGGCACTTCTATAGCACGGATTCACTCTAACACGGTTCGAGAATTGGAAACATCCCCCGTATAACACGGTGCTTTTACAGCACGGATTCACTCTAACACGGTTTGGGAATTGGGTAAAACCCTAGTACAACATAAAATGTAATAAAGGGTGTGTTCTTTTACATTTCCGCGTAACCCCGCGCGAGTATTCTAATTGTTTTCGTGGCTACTTGGAATGCTCTTTCAACAAATAATCCATTTAATGGTTAAATTTTACAATTGGGACTCTTCTTTTGCCTCTAAAAGCTCATTTTAGATTTATAGATGCCTCCATCATGATACTATCGGTAGTGCGGGCGCCGCCATCTTTCACTGTCATTCCTAAATTCCTATAAACAGCAGAACACTCCTGTTGCAGAGCGAACGCTATTAACGAACGCACCCACAAACTGTTACCAGTTGATGATGCTCATGCTAAGATCATCATATAAAATAATCCTCTGGTAAAATATTTACTTAAATAATAAATAAGTATTTTACCTATGAAAAAAATGAATAATAAATCCGATTTAATATGTTTTTTTTAATTTTTGTAACGTAACCCCCCTTTTCGCACTTGTTCTTTGTTTCGTATAACACGGATTCGCATAATACGGCTATTTTTTGGAACGTAACTCCCGTGTTATACGGGGGTTACCGGTACCTCCACGAAACCGACAATATTTAATGCAATATTCATTAATATCAATTCAAACATATTCCCGCTTTTAAAACAATATAATTAATTAAAAATAATGAAGATTGAACTTAACCCTACTTCATTTCTCCTTTTATACTTTCTCTCTCTCTATTAGAAAATGCTGTTCCATGATTGGTTTATTTCTCTTCCTGTGTTGTTGTTATTCTATGTTTTTGTTTAACTACAGTCGACCCCCTATAAGATCGTTGATTTTTCTGTTTTATATGAATTCCATGTTGTACGAGTCACTTAGATTTTACAAATACATGTGCCGGGCTGTGAACGGCTCACATATTTGTAAAATCTAAGTGACTCGTACAACATGTAATTCAGATAAAACGGAAAAATCAACGATCTTATAGGAGGGTCGACTGTATCGTATTTTGACGAGTATAAGTCGCTGTCAAGTATAAGACGCAGCCCTATTATGAGAGAAAAAATTTAGAAAAAAACTTTTTTAATGGGATTGTCTAAAGATGCATTTTATTCGTTTTTTTTTATTCAAGAATATGACGGATGGATGAATCGATACTGTAAAGTAGTGGCCTTTTAGCAGAGTGGGAACAAAAGAGGCGCGACCTTGTCAATTGGACCTACGTGCGGTCGGATAATACCACTTGTAAAGTATTGACTTGTAAACAAGGGTAAACAAAGGAAGCGCCGGCTTTGTTAATTGGACCCACTTGCAGTCAGACGGTAGTACATTTGCCATATTGTAAACAAACGAACGTAAACAAGTGGAGGACGTTTGTGTGAGCTCCACTCTCGTCGGATGACGGCGGACTCGATTGTAAGCTGTTCAGGCATAAAAAAGGGTTGTGATTGGTCGGAAGTCGCCGTTTCAAAATCCCTTAAATTGCGGGGCGAACGAGAGAGGAGGAGAGAAGGGCAAGAGACTGATAGACGGTTGTCTCAGGCACTTGGGAAGTCCGCTGAGTGTAAAGAGAGAGTGTTCTCCTCTGTTAATAATCTTCTCAGAGACGGGTTAGTGCTGAGACCGGACCGACCGTGTAGTTGAGCCGACTCCACAATCTGACTGAGGTCTCTCCAAAGGTTATTAGTTCCTAGACGCCAATCTGGCTCGTGAATTCACCACGCATGGTCATCGTGTACATATACTATGTTTTCTAACTTGTACTTTCTACTACTGTAAATAAACTGTAAATATATTCAATTTGAGTGTGGAGGTGTACTTTCCAACGAAACTGATTCATTACATCAGGTCGTGATACACAAGAAACCAACTCAACGAGACGGAGTTGGGAAGGAACGGCAATAAGATCTTCACTGATACCTTTAATTACTGTAAACTGAAATAATATCATTTCTTAATGTAAAATCAGAGGTCACGTGATGACAGTCGACATAACATGGCGGCGATGACTCGTGTGTCGCTACTCTGATAATCTAGATACTCTATCCATTCGGTTGAGGGACCATCTGCTTAACGGACCACTGCACAGGTTGTTCCTTAGAGTGGACCACTATTGTAGATAATTTCACTGTAAAAATGGTTACATGTCGAGTATAAGACGCACCATGATTTTGAGCCCCAAAAAGTAGTAAAAAAAAGTGCGACTTATACTCGTCAAAATATGGTATATAGATGTGAACGTACATTTGTTTTTTATAATTATATATTTTTTTCTTTATTTTTACTGCGTTCAAATCCACTTCGCATCCCTTTAAATTACAATGTTTCGCTACCGCGGAATTTGCATAATTCCATTTGATTGCACGAATATGTTCTTTTAATTTTACTTTTAGTTTTCTTTTTGTTTTCCCAATTATTGTTTCTTCTGGTTACAACTACAATTAAACGAATATACCACACCTTTTTCTTCTGTTATTTCGTATTTTCGGTCGTTTCTATAAGAAAGATGTTTTTTAGTTAAAATATAATTTTCAAAAAGGCTACAGAAAACATTAATTCGAAATAAAAATACAGAAGCAGAATAGCATTAATTACTTAGATATAACAATTGAAAAAAGAGAAGATAGATTAATTTATAAAAAATATGTAAAACCGACACAGATTCCCAAAAATAATTAATTACAAATCTATTATTCCTATTAGTATAAAATTTAATATATTTAAAATGTATACGGAAAAAATAAAATATAGAACAAGTGAAACAGAGACCCAGAAACAGCAAGAGGAAGAAATAATTAAAATGTACCTACAAAATTTTTACAGGAAAAATAAATAGAAAAATTAGAAAAAGTTAAACAAACAAAAAAGTTATTAAATAAGGAAAAACAATTTGTAAAGGCAGTGTATGTGTTACAGTTAAAGCTCGAAAGTCGTTAATCTCCAGATTACCTAGCTAATCTGCAGATTAACTAGGATGATCCGTTAAAATTATGAAAATTGTTCTATTTCTCAAATTACCTACGTAATGTGCAGATTATCTAAGTAATCTGCAAATTACCTACTAGGCACTCGGTAAAGTGAAAACAAGATCTTTGTCACAAATAAATGTACCACAAATAGGTGTGCTTGTCGCAGAAACCAATTGCTATGAAATTCAAAGTGTCACCAATCTTTAGACTGCACTAATAAGTAAGCACAATTGGATAATGTTACCTATGGTGAGTAAAATGGCGGCTCGTCTATGATTCCATCAAAGAGAAGAAAGGAAACAGTGGAGACGCACATTCAAACCTAACCTAATCTATTCTAATAATTTGGTTGGTAATAATTATGGTAATTTATTAGACTAGGTTAAATTAGGTTAGAACGTGCGTCCCACTGTTTCCTTTCTTCTCTTTGCTAGAATTAGAGACGAGCCGCCATTTTACTCACCATAGGTAACATTAACTGCAAAATTATATCACGCGATCACCAGAAAAAGTATGATAACTTTATTATTTTTCGTCTCCGGTCCAAAAGTTGGGTATCATTGAAGTCGTCTCGGTCCCCTCAGTTCAGATAGATATTCAAAGTCCCAAAATTCCTTAGGTAGTTATCTATATAATAATTTCCCTAATTGTATTAATATTTTAAACCGTTTGATTTTTTGTATGTCTTTTTAATTGGTTGATGATTGATTCTATCAACTAATTTGTCGATTGTTTGATTGTATTAACTTGATTCTTTAGATATCGAAAATTAAATAAAGAACATTATGTTAATTTAAGCGTACAGAAACGTTGCTGTTGTTACAGCAAAGATCTTATTTTCACTTTACGAGTGCCTAGTAGGTAATTTGCAGATTACCTAGATAATCTGCACATTACCTAGGTAATTTCAGAAATTGAACAATTTTAGCCACTTTAACGGATCACCCTAGTTAATCTGCAGATTAGCTAGATAATGTACACATTAACGACTTTCGAGCTTTAGCGGTAAGATGTGTACCGAAGTTGTTTGAAAGAATTAAAAATTAATAGAAAGTAAAATAAATTTAATATTCAAAAAAATAAGTTCAACTAAAAAACATCTTTGTAATATACCAAAAATACGAAATAACAGAAGTATATTCGTTTAATCATAGTTGTAACCATAAGAAAACATATATTGGGGAAACAAAAAGAAAACTAACAGTAAAATTAAACGAACATATTCGTGCAATCAAACGGAATTATGCAAATTCTGCGGTAGGGAAACATTGCAATTTAAAGGGATGCGAAGTGAATTTGAATGCAGTAAAATTGAAGAAAAAAGAGAAAAACAATTATAAAAGACAATTGTACGAACACATCTACATAGTTAAACAAAAATATAGAATAATAACAACACGGGAAGAGAAATAGACCAATTATGGAAGTGCATCTATAGAGGGAGAAAGGGAATTATTTATTATTGGAATATGTGTAAACCAATCTTCATTATTTTAAATTTGGATACTGAAATTTTTTCTTATTTGAAAGTTTATAGAAAAAAGTAAGTTTGAAAATTTCGAGTCATTTTGTTTTTACATGTGCATTTATGAACGATGTATACATTCGTTCCCTCTTCAGTAATAGTTCTACACAAGAATTCATTATATTAAATATCATACATTATTTATATTTTAAAACAATAATGAAATCAGTTCTTACATATTAAAAAATCTAGTAACGAGTTGCTTAACTTTCCCGGCTTTTATGCGATTTTTTCATAAAAACTTTGTGTATTTTTAATTATTATAGAATAGCAAAGTACTTAATTATGAGGGTACAAATGAGTTTTATCAAAATTCGTAAATGCTAATAACAAGTAAAATCTTCATTAAGCCCAGCCTTACGCGAGATACGACACGTGGCCACCCTGTAACTTCCCTTCCCCTCCATCTTACATCATAAAAATTTAATAGTCTCAATGCTCCTTATAAACAAGCTACTGTGTTCGAAATTTCTTTTATTATCTTTATTCCATCCTGATATATTAAGTAATTAATTAAATGGAATAGACAAAACACACATCCACGGAATTTTTTACCGCTTTTCGGTTCAGGTCTCGAAACGTAAAGATTGCATATTTGACACGATTCCATAACTTTTCCTTGTTATATATACGCAACAGCCGGAAATAAAAAGTAATGGTTCTGTGAAATCCGGAATTTTTGCCGAATTTTCCGATTAATAACCCGCAGTTTCCTAAACCCCCAATTAAATTTTCCTTTAAACCCTAAACGGAGATCTAACGTAAAAAAGGGAAAAATTCCGATCTCCCCTTTCGTTCAAAGTAAACATCCGTCCATTTCGAAAATAATCCCACATTCCAACTCCAAAGTCGATAGTTAGCATGGGCCCGGGAACAACTTTGACCCATCCGCATACCTTTTACCTCACAACAGTTGGTCACATGACTATTCTCCCACGACGAAACTATAAAAGCCTCTTATTTCCCCCTCTCGAGGGAGTCGTTCATCCACCGTTACTTCGATATCGTGTCCTACGAATATTATATCCTACAAACACTGTCCTAAGAATCTTATATCCTACGAATCCTACGTGATCCTTCAAATATTACGTTTAATCGTATTTTCCTCAACGTGAAACATAAAATTTTTTCCTCAAAGGATTATCATCAGAAAGAGGTATGAAACAAATGTTTGTGAACTCTCTCTCGGCCCTTCGCGTTTTACGGACTCAGATTTTTCCCTTGAAATTAGTTATTGTAATATCTATGTAGCTAATAAATCTTTGTTATCTCGTTAAATTGGTGTCCTCTTTTACTCGTATATCGCCTGTCAGCTTACCGACGGCACTCCTCCCTCCGCTACTCGACCCGAAACATTAAATCCCGTTACAGCGGGAAAAAGGATAAACTTTAATCCATCCTGACAGTGAGAAGGTTTAACAACCTGTTGGCGGATCGGAAGACCTACACCCTCCCGGCGGTTCACATTTCCAAGCAAAGTTTCAAATCCATATACTGTATAGTACTTCCAGATCGTATATTTTAAATAATTCATTAAAAACAACTCACTAATTTCTAATGTTAGAAATACACTGTGTAAATATAATATTAATATTTAATATTGTTCAATAACACTATAATCGACATAATTACTAACATTTATCCTTTACTATTTCATACAAATTAAAAAATACTTTTCTATCTCTTATACCGGGGATAAAATAGAAGTTATTGCGTAGTTGCTTATTCTCCGAAGAGTCTGGGAAAATGACTTCTGAAAAGTCTTTTAAGTGTAACTGGCACATCTTTAAGCATTAGAATTGTGAAAAAAACTGGAAAAATCCACGTGGCCAGCCCGTCCTTGCCAGGCTCAAACCCACGACCGAACTACTAGTGTTCGTTTGGTCAATAGTGTGCTATTTTTTACTATCTTATTACAATGATGCTTTTTTACTTTAATGGGCTTTTTTGTTACGCCTTCTATTATGTCATAATACAGTTTATTAAATTACATACCTTCTTATATATTAATAAAATTTTCCTTTTTACAATTTATTACTTTCCCATCTGTTATGTATTTAAGAGAGAGTAGTAAGAAGAATGGTGAGATGACCCCCCAAGATTTTACATTCTTCGACTGAGAACATCTTGAAACGTCGAGAAATGCAAAAAATTTTGATTCTTTACTGTATGTACGTACTTAAGTGTGAGTTTGTGTCTCTGGGGGACAATGTTGTTCATCCACTTTAAAGCTTAACTCCTGTGCGTTTCGCGAAAATTTCTGAAATCTTGCTAGGTGCTTTATAGTAAAACTGACGCTGCTAAATTTTGGTGATTATAGATCGAACGGATGGAGCGATAAAGGCGGTGTTCTGTATCTCCAGTAAGGTCACACTTCATGATGATTTTATTTTAGAGGAGTCATTAAGTATAAATTTTTTTATGTGAATTCATTAATTCTAATTTCTTAACCTAACCTTTTTTATCCTTTATACAGTCAAACGTCGAGTTTCGAACGGCTCTGTTTACGAACAAAATTTTAAACGTCATATTTCCTCCTGTTGTCGAATAATCTACTCCGCAAAAGACGTCCACAGACGATCAACTCTGTATATTTCCTGTGTTAATGTATTGATACTTGTCTGTATCGATTTATTTGATTATATTTCACGCAGACAATCAGATGCGAGTCTCTATCGCACTTTGTAAAGTGCTTGTTTCTGTTGTTCGTGAAGAAACATTTTGTTTTTAATAAATATATAAATTACATATAGATATGAATAATATAATATTATGTTGCACGTGAAGTTTGTTATATGNCAAAAAGTACACGAAAATGGCTTTTCCCCTGTATGCACTCGGACATGTTGAATCAGATATACTTTCTGTGCAAAACTCCGTTTGCAATGATCACAGGTAAATGGTTTCTCCCCGGTGTGAGTTCGCAGATGTTCAATCAGATTTCCTTTCTGTGTAAAACTCCGTTTGCAATGATCACAGCTAAAGGGTTTCTCCCCTGTGTGAGTCTTGACGTGGTACCATAAACTGCTGGAATGGAGGAACTGACGATTACAGAATTTGCAAAAGAGCCGTTCTCCAGTGTGAATCCTTTGATGACGTTTTAAATTGGACTTCGAACCGAATTCTTTCTTGCAACTGTCACATCGATACTTCCCATTACTTGACTTCTGATTATTTAAACCTGTAAAATACGATAAAATATAAATATTAAAATCATTGTCTAAAGATAAAAGTCTCTTCAATTTATTCACAATTAAATATCTAAATTTAAGCACTCTATTTTTAACGTTTTCTATGCAGATAGAAAACGAATTTGCAATTTTTTCACGAGTTTCCTTAAATTAAAATTTAAGTGTTACAACATATTCCCGTGATTTCACCACACCATACACTAACTGCGTACACCAATGTTTACATATATTACCAACAGGCATAAATACTATCACAAAATAAAATGCCATTTATACATTTTTTCTATACACAATTTATATGCTGTTTGCAATAAAAATATATAGATAATCATCTTCATTTAATTTTCTGCTTTTCGTCCTTTGCATGAAATATACTTTCTCCTTTGATGCATTCTTGTATGATTTCTTATCACTAATTTCAGTTTTGGTCTTCCGTAAACAAAAGTTTAACACATTCTTCAGCTCTTATTAGAAATGCTCTTAATTGATGAATGATGGATCTGTAAATAACAAAAAGCTCTGTAAAACAAGATACGAGAATGGAATTAAAACATTACTATCTACATCATATTAAATATGTTAAAACTAAAACTAATTCTTCTGGAAATTCTTCGACATTTTACCCCAGAAAAGTAAACCTTCATCGAAAACCTAAAAAAGAAAGAGATTCCAGTTAATATTCCTTATTAAAGTATATCTATTTACACATATTAAATTTCTTTCCACATAAAAAGAAAATATCTGCTGAAATCTCGACTTGTACTTCGTAACGAATCTTCCTTCTGTGTTTTCCTGTTATGTAATTAACAAAGAGATTCTCTTCTTCATTCGAGACTGTAGATCATTTTGTTAGATTAATAAATTGCATTGATTCTATTGATTATCGAAGAAGTAACTATCTCTTAACGTAAAGCTAACGTTATCAATAATTTGCCGAATATATTAACTTATTTTGGTAACCACTGAGAAAAGGTTTATTGACGAATTAGCAAAGATGTGACTAAGGGGTACTGAAATTAATTTAAACTTAGATAAGTCCTAGTTGACGTTTTATTGTTAAAACTTATTATACTGGATAACTGGTTCTGCAAATTAAGTAAACAAAGTCAGAAAAACTGTTTTTATTTATCACCTGAACACATACACGATATCTTTGTGTTTCGGACTTATCAGCAGGTTTACCATCGAAAATCTCTAAAAACATTTCAATTTAAAATTGTAACAAAATTATTTATTTTGAAAAACCATAAAAGTTTCCGACAATAAAATAATTAAAAACTTANACTATACAGAACTATCATAAAAGTATACCAGTAAATACTTATCGGTTGGGTTAAGTTATAAATCTACTCATGATTCACATAATCAGGCGAGGGCGGCCAAAAATCCAGCGGGCAGGTGACTAACAGCCCAGAACCGGTCCTGGATAGAATCATTGGAAGCGTTATACGCGGGTAGCTTCCAGCATCTAAACCAGGTGAAGTTGGTGCTCTGTAAAGCGCATGCGCGAATAAGTATAATCTTGCTGTTTGAAAGCTGACAATATAGCGCTTCCATTCCGCCACTAATATTCGAATATACAATAGCGATCTTATCATTTTTTTCACGTGTAGTATAGAAATTTGTAATAAGATACATAATGCGATAATAATAAAATATTAATTTTAATTATATGAAAATAATCGCACAATATGTATTTATTTTTTAGAAAATACAAGGAAAGCGGTGGAAGCGCCGCTTCCCTAGTATGACAGCACGCCACTTGTTCAAATGCACTTCTCATCCCTTTAAACTACAATGTTCCGCTATCGCGGAATTTGCATAATTTTCTTTGATTGCACGAATATGTTCTTTTAATTTTACTTTTAGTTTTCTTTTTGTTTCCCCGATATATGTTTTCTTCTGGTTACAACTACAGTTTAAAAAATATACCGTACCTTATTCTTCTGTTATTTCGTATTTTTTGGTCGTTCCTATAACAAAGATGTTTTTTAGTTGAAATATAATTTTGAAAAAGGCTAACCAGATAACAGAAAATATTAATTCGAAATAAAAATAGAGAAGCAGAATAGCATTAATTACTTAGATCTAACAATTGAAAAAAGAGAAGATAGATTAATTAATAAAAAATATGTAAAACCGACACAGATTCCCAAAAATAATTAATTACAAATCTATTATTCTTATTAATATGAAATTTAATATATTTAAAATGTATACGGAAAAAATAAAATATAGAACAACTGAAACAGAGACCCAGAAATAAGAAGAGGAAGAAATAATTAAAATGTACCTAAAAATTTTTACTGGAAAAATGCATAGAAAAATTAGAAGATAAACGAAAAAAATTAATAAATAAGGAGAAACAATTTGTAAAAGTAGTGTATGTACCAAAGTTATTTGAAATAATTCAAAAATTAATATAAAGTAAAATAAATTTAATACTCGAAAAAATAAGTTCAAGTAAAAAACATCTTTGTAATATACCAAAAATACGAAATAACAGAAGTAAATTCGTTTAATTGTAGTTGTAACCAGAAGAAAACATAAAACATATATTGGGAAAACAAAAAGAAAACCTAAAGTAAGATTAAAATAACATATTCGTGCAATCAAAGGGAATTATGCAAATTCTGTGGTAGGGAAACATTGTAATTTAAAGGGATGCGAAGTGAATTTGAACACAGTAAAAATGAAGAAAAGAAAAGAAAAACAATTATAAAAGACAGTTGTAAGAACACATCTACATAGTTAAACAAAAAGATAGAATAATAACAACACAGGAAGAGAAATAGACCAATTATGGAACTGCATCATCTATAGAGGGAGAAAGGGAATTATTTATTATTGGAATATGTGTCAACCAATCTTCATTATTTTAAATTTGGCTACTGAAATTCTTTCTTAGTTGAAAGTTTATAGAAAAAAGTAACTTTGAAAATTTCGAGTCATTTTGTTTTTACATGTGCATTTATGAACGATGTATACATTCGTTCCCTCTTCAGTAATAGTTCTACACAAGAATTCATTATATTAAATATCATACATTATTTATATTTTAAAACAATAATGAAATCAGTTCTTACATATTAAAAAATCTAGTAACGAGTTGCTTAACTTTCCCGGCTTTTATGCGATTTTTTCATAAAAACTTTGTGTATTTTTAATTATTATAGAATAGCAAAGTACTTAATTATGAGGGTACAAATGAGTTTTATCAAAATTCGTAAATGCTAATAACAAGTAAAATCTTCATTAAGCCCAGCCTTACGCGAGATACGACACGTGGCCACCCTGTAACTTCCCTTCCCCTCCATCTTACATCATAAAAATTTAATAGTCTCAATGCTCCTTATAAACAAGCTACTGTGTTCGAAATTTCTTTTATTATCTTTATTCCATCCTGATATATTAAGTAATTAATTAAATGGAATAGACAAAACACACATCCACGGAATTTTTTACCGCTTTTCGGTTCAGGTCTCGAAACGTAAAGATTGCATATTTGACACGATTCCATAACTTTTCCTTGTTATATATACGCAACAGCCGGAAATAAAAAGTAATGGTTCTGTGAAATCCGGAATTTTTGCCGAATTTTCCGATTAATAACCCGCAGTTTCCTAAACCCCCAATTAAATTTTCCTTTAAACCCTAAACGGAGATCTAACGTAAAAAAGGGAAAAATTCCGATCTCCCCTTTCGTTCAAAGTAAACATCCGTCCATTTCGAAAATAATCCCACATTCCAACTCCAAAGTCGATAGTTAGCATGGGCCCGGGAACAACTTTGACCCATCCGCATACCTTTTACCTCACAACAGTTGGTCACATGACTATTCTCCCACGACGAAACTATAAAAGCCTCTTATTTCCCCCTCTCGAGGGAGTCGTTCATCCACCGTTACTTCGATATCGTGTCCTACGAATATTATATCCTACAAACACTGTCCTAAGAATCTTATATCCTACGAATCCTACGTGATCCTTCAAATATTACGTTTAATCGTATTTTCCTCAACGTGAAACATAAAATTTTTTCCTCAAAGGATTATCATCAGAAAGAGGTATGAAACAAATGTTTGTGAATTCTCTCTCGGCCCTTCGCGTTTTACGGACTCAGATTTTTCCCTTGAAATTAGTTATTGTAATATCTATGTAGCTAATAAATCTTTGTTATCTCGTTAAATTGGTGTCCTCTTTTACTCGTATATCGCCTGTCAGCTTACCGACGGCACTCCTCCCTCCGCTACTCGACCCGAAACATTAAATCCCGTTACAGCGGGAAAAAGGATAAACTTTAATCCATCCTGACAGTGAGAAGGTTTAACAACCTGTTGGCGGATCGGAAGACCTACACCCTCCCGGCGGTTCACATTTCCAAGCAAAGTTTCAAATCCATATACTGTATAGTACTTCCAGATCGTATATTTTAAATAATTCATTAAAAACAACTCACTAATTTCTAATGTTAGAAATACACTGTGTAAAAATAATATTAATATTTAATATTGTTCAATAACACTATAATCGACATAATTACTAACATTTATCCTTTACTATTTCATACAAATTAAAAAATACTTTTCTATCTCTTATACCGGGGATAAAATAGAAGTTATTGCGTAGTTGCTTATTCTCCGAAGAGTCTGGGAAAATGACTTCTGAAAAGTCTTTTAAGTGTAACTGGCACATCTTTAAGCATTAGAATTGTGAAAAAAACTGGAAAAATCCACGTGGCCAGCCCGTCCTTGCCAGGCTCAAACCCACGACCGAACTACTAGTGTTCGTTTGGTCAATAGTGTGCTATTTTTTACTATCTTATTACAATGATGCTTTTTTACTTTAATGGGCTTTTTTGTTACGCCTTCTATTATGTCATAATACAGTTTATTAAATTACATACCTTCTTATATATTAATAAAATTTTCCTTTTTACAATTTATTACTTTCCCATCTGTTATGTATTTAAGAGAGAGTAGTAAGAAGAATGGTGAGATGACCCCCCAAGATTTTACATTCTTCGACTGAGAACATCTTGAAACGTCGAGAAATGCAAAAAATTTTGATTCTTTACTGTATGTACGTACTTAAGTGTGAGTTTGTGTCTCTGGGGGACAATGTTGTTCATCCACTTTAAAGCTTAACTCCTGTGCGTTTCGCGAAAATTTCTGAAATCTTGCTAGGTGCTTTATAGTAAAACTGACGCTGCTAAATTTTGGTGATTATAGATCGAACGGATGGAGCGATAAAGGCGGTGTTCTGTATCTCCAGTAAGGTCACACTTCATGATGATTTTATTTTAGAGGAGTCATTAAGTATAAATTTTTTTATGTGAATTCATTAATTCTAATTTCTTAACCTAACCTTTTTTATCCTTTATACAGTCAAACGTCGAGTTTCGAACGGCTCTGTTTACGAACAAAATTTTAAACGTCATATTTCCTCCTGTTGTCGAATAATCTACTCCGCAAAAGACGTCCACAGACGATCAACTCTGTATATTTCCTGTGTTAATGTATTGATACTTGTCTGTATCGATTTATTTGATTATATTTCACGCAGACAATCAGATGCGAGTCTCTATCGCACTTTGTAAAGTGCTTGTTTCTGTTGTTCGTGAAGAAACATTTTGTTTTTAATAAATATATAAATTACATATAGATATGAATAATATAATATTATGTTGCACGTGAAGTTTGTTTTATGCATAAAATACAGCGAAAACCTAAAAAAGAAAAGAAGTTTCACTCCATTCAATAATTACAATAGAAAATATACTTTACCAGTTCTTTACCTCCGTCCTCTATTTCCTTCTAAAATACGTAACGTAACTGTCAATTTTATTTTAAAAAGAACAATTGGCGTCACCTGATTAAAATATGAAAATTTTTAATTTTTAAAAGTAAAGTACAGAAAGTGCAAAAATTTATCTTTCATTGGGTTATTGTTGAAAAAAATGAATAACTGTGAAGTATTATGAATATTTGATTTATTAATGAAAGTATTATTTATGTTGGAGCCAAATAACCACCAACGATCGAAATGTGCTGCAAAACGAGGACAATTTGTGTTTGAATCGATTTTCTCTTCTTATAAATCATTAATTATGAATTATTCCATTCAATCTTCTCTATTGAGCAGAATTGTGGGATTACTAATAACAATTAACCATCTATATATGTCAATTTTACTTGGTTTGTCCAATATACTGTATAAATCTTTATTTTTAAACCGATCTGGACCATAATTTGTATGAGTATTATGTTTGGTCGTATCCGATTCGAACGAAATTAGGTGACACGTAGTCCTAAACAAAAACAGATCCTTATCCACTTCTCGGATATATACAGAGTCTTTCCAGAGCCATCCATCGAAACTTCCGAACAATCAATTCGTCGTGTCGTCAATTCAACCCTCAACCCGATCGGGAACGAAGCGCATCGTCAGATCCTCTGCAAGGTATTTATCCGTCCGCGAATTTATGTAAACTCTCTCTCAAGACTGGGACTCGCGCGGATAGTTAATATAATATATTAAGCCATTAATACAAAATACTAGTCTTATAAAGGGATCGCCCAAATGTTCAACCGTCCAATTATAAACTGCCTATGTTAGTCTAATTGTAAATTGTTCGACATTAAAAATTGGAAATAAAGATGTTTAGAGGCTAGAACCCATATTTTAAAGTTACAAACGGCTGTGCGTTGTATCACCTCTATAGTATCATGTATTCTTCTCTATTAATCAATGACACGTGTACTGTACATAAACTAGTAAAATTACACCATGTTAATTCAACTTTGTAGAATTATTTTTTAATCAACGAAACTATTTTCTTTCGGTACATAAAGACAATTGCTTTATATACAATATCAAAGTTACAAAATGAAAAAATAAAACTTCAAAAATTTCTTTCTATATTCAATAAAATCGAAATACGAAATTAATACAAATAAATACTTTAGTCAACATGTTCATTCATAACAAATATCGTTATTTATTATTATGATATTTATTAATATGACAATTTAAATTACTTTTAAAACAGAACTTTTGTAAGCAATAATTACACGAAAACGGCTTTTCCCCTGTATGAACACGCAGATGTTCAATCAGATTTCCTTTCTGTGTAAAACTCCGTTTGCAATAATCACAGGTAAAGGGTTTCACCCCGGTGTGTGTCTTGACGTGGTACCATAAACTGCTGGAATGGATAAATTGACGATTACAGAATTTGCAAAAGAGCCGTTCTCCAGTGTGAATCCTTTGATGACGTTTTAAATTGGACTTCGAAGCGAATTCTTTCTTGCAACTGTCACATTCATACTTCCCATTCTTTCCCTTCTCAATGTTTATACCTGTAAAATACAATATATAAAAAGAGTAAAACCAATGTTTAAAAGACAAAAACTCTCTTCAATTTATTCTCAATCAAATATCTAAATTTAAATCACACTATTTTAAAAGTACTGTGAATGCTTAAAATGCAGATAGACAAAGAATCTTTCTTTCTGTGGTTATTTTCTTTGAATAAAATTTAGATTAATACCACACGAAGAAAAACATTACACCAGAAACACTAACTATTCACACATATTACCCACACACTAAAACGATATCACAAATTAATAACAAATATAATTTATACATTTTTCAATGAAAACAATTTATATGAAATGTATTTTGCAAAATCAAAATATTTGAAAAATAGTTTTAAAATATCTTCGTTGATTTTTTTCTTTTTCTTCACTCGCATGAAAGATGTTTTCCTTGTTGATATATTCTTGTAATGATTTCACAACACTGGCTTTAATTTTAGTGTTCCGTTAACGACAGAAGTCCAACACATCCATCGACTATTCTTGTGTTTTTCTAGAAACTATTCTTCATTTAGTAGTAAATAGGAATGTTTTTGATTGGCGGGTAGTGAATCTGAAAGCAATAAAAGTCCCGAATGAAATCAGATACGACAATATCGTCACACATTACTATCTAAGTCAAATTTAAAATTTTCAAAATCAAATTTAATAATTTTAGAAATTCTTCTTCGGACATTTCACGCCATAAAATAGCAGTTCGATTTAAAACCTGAAAAAGAAACTAATTCAAATTAATTTATTATATAAGTGTCTACTGGGACATATGGTATTAGTAGGACTTGTTATAATGGTGTCCGGAATCTATGAATTGAGGATACTTATTCCGAAAAAACAATCTTTATTGTTCACTTTTTTCAGCTGTACACACTTTGTGTTTCGGACCTCTTGTTCCCTCGTTAGCAAATTTACTGTCATCACTTGCTAAAACAAGATTTTATATGTTGTTATATTTTTCCGACAATAATGCGATTAAAATGATTTAGGTTTTTAGTGGATAAGTACATGAAAATTTGAAAAGATCAACACAAATTTGGTATTATATTTTCAAACATTAAACCTCTCTATATATATAACCGAGACGAGTTGATGATAATAATAAGCCCAGAGCCCAAACGGTTAGGAGTTGAAAGCTGAAATTTGGTACACAGTTAGGGTACGTGACGAAAACGCACACTAGGAAGGGATTTTTCGAAATTCCCCCGAGGGGAGAGAGACAGGATTAAGCTTAACACTTCCATCAACAATAGAAGTGTTAAATAACAATGCAAGTGTTAACAATGGAAGTGTTAAGAGAAAGTGCAGGTTTTTTTCGTTTTTGCAGGAAATCGAAGATATTTTTAGACCCATCTAAAAATTCTCTAATTAGTCTAGAAACGGGGGACCCAATTCTTGCATTCTTTGAAAACGGGTAAAGTTGACTATAACGTAATCTTAATCTTCGCTATCGTTTCCTTTGCCCGAGCAACGCCGGGCCTACCTGCTGGTATACAATAAGCAGATGAACAATACAGATTGTTTTTTCCGAACAAGTTTCAATTCGCAGTACTCGGACACCTACTAATACGATATGTCCCAGTAGACACTTACATATTAGATTTTATGATAAACACACAAAGGTATATAAATGAATTCAAATTAATTTTACTCATCCAGGAACAGTGTCAATGTATTTCAAATGTTTATATATAAAGTACTGTACTTTTATTTGCGATTTTTTAAATTAGGTATAAATGTATTTTATGAAGAATTAATTTCCCTTCGGTCTTTCTATTTTACAGCTTTCATTGCAGAACTAAGTTATAAAAACTGAATCGTTTCTTGAAAAGTTTTTTAATTAAAATTACCTTAGGAAAAAAGTGAAAATCTACTTACTAATTTAACAAACTTCAGTCAAGAAAGACACGGAAAATACCAGAATACTCGTTACCACTGTCCACAAGAACCAGGGGAACTCGATACACCATAAAATGTTATCTGAAAAGTCTCCTCTTCCGCTTCGTTAAAATCTTCCTTCTGTTTTTTTTCTTTCTGGTGAAATCGTTAACGAGGTTTTCTCCTTCAATCAAGACTGTAAATTATGTTACATTTAAAATTATCTACACCCAGACTATCGATTGTAGAAATAAAATGGCGACAGTCAAAAGGTCGACGAAAGGGACTAACCTGCCTGTGTGGACGAGAATTCCATAAGCTTCCATTCATTTCGTCGTAGGGCTGAAGGAAAACACAATCTTCACCCTCTCTGTCTTCACAGACACAAACAATCGTGGGTTATCTACAGAGTAAAATAAAACTTCTGTCGACTTTTTTCTGTATCCAAAACAGAAATACGTCACTAGTAACTAGCGAAGATTCGTGAATTTCACCTATTTGTTGTGCTTTCCTCTTCTTTTTTTAATGACGAACCGATTCCAAGACGATGGCCGAAAACGAAAAGGAAGAAAACAACCAAATGAACGTGTCCTTCGATTTCTTCGTAAAAGATTTAGCTCATCGGAACACAATTTTCAATGTATTCAGTACTTACAATAAAAACATACTTTATCATTTCTCTAACCGAAATCTGCACGAAATCCAGCAAATGCATTGCTGCACTTCATTCAACCTAACTGTCAATTTTTTTTTTTTAAAAAAATAAAATAGTGGCGCCATCTAATATTTAAAATTCAATAATGTCAAATTATTTTTACAGAATTTGTGGGTCTAAAATTTCTGAAAATAATCTTTTATTCATCTTTTAATGTTGAAAAAATGAATTCTCTCGAAACTATTATAAAGAATTATTTTGAACTGAAGTAGTCACGAATCATGAAAATCGGTGGTAAAATGTGAACTATCCGAGGACAATCCACATTTGAATCCGTTGTCCATTTTAATGATTTATTAACTGAGTTTGCATGTTCTTTGAAATGGGTTGTATTCTTCTTGCAACGATGTTATCTGACAACTGTAAGTCTTGTATTGCTGACATAATCTCACGCTTGTTGGAAAATCCCTCAAATAAGCAATCGGCGCCAGTAACAAATGTTTCTTTTAACAATTCACCATCCTGGAAAGGCTTTTACTTCTTTGCGAGTATGTGAGAAATTTTTAAAGAAGCAATAGTGGCATTTTTAGATTTTAATACAGTCCTAGTGAAAACTGACTGTTGAGCGAACAGATTTGATTTTAGTTGATCTATTTTCTTCCATGTTATTTCAGATTTATGTGGATAGTTCGTATTAAAAGTAGCACAAATTGTCAAAAAATGACGTTCAACATTGTTTTTTTGGTACCGCGATGCTATTTCCACACAACAAAGAAATACATTTGTCTTTTTAAATTGATGAAGCAATATGAATCCTCCCATTCAGTATTAAAATTATAGGTCTGCTGTCTTTAACTTGATCCACTCATTTTGGGGTAAAAATAAGGAAGTATTTAAAAACAATAAAAGAGGAAACANGTGCCCGTTTTTTGGTATACCATTACGCGGACAGACGGATACCTATTCAATGGGTTATATATATATAGATATATACTTTTTACACCTCTCAAATATATTAGGTTATTTATTCTTTTAAAGAAAGTTACTATTTTTAAAGTGATATTAAATTAAACTACATATTTACAGTGCCAAAAAGTGTCATCATGAACAGATATAAGAACTCGTGTTCCAATAAATGTACTTCTGAAACCAGACAGAAACGTTCGAAATGCAACAGTGTCGATTCTTTGAATTACACTAAACTTAAAAGAAGCAAGAGGAAAATCAAAACAGAAGACGATAGTATCGAAGACGAATTAATGAAATCTATGTCTTCGGAATCGCAGAATCTTTCGCAAATTACTTTGGAGGATTTGTCCGAAGTCGAGAATAAACTATCGGTTCCTGTTAAAAATAAAACTGCTGTAAAAGACAAAAGATCAAAACACAGATCATGCCGAGAAGAAAGGGAAAAAGTCACGGATGGATCTATAAACTACGATGGCATTGAAAATATCAAAGCATGTTCCGTGAAGTTGATACCTACCGAGAGAATTCTATCGAATGGCACGAAAATAAAGAAAGAGGATTTTGATGTTACAACGGCAGATGACAATACGAAAACGGTTAGAAGTGTTACGAGATCGGGAAGAAAAGTTCGTCCTGTCGAGCGCTTGCACATGACCACGGATTCAGGGTAAGTCAATTACTAAAATTGTCACAGTTTAAATTTGTTTCTTACTCAGATTCATGCGAACGCCGGGGAGGTTGGGAAGTCCCTTTCTTGTCAAGGATGGTGTTTTGTTCAGTTACGCGTTATGCGTGTGGAGGAGAGTCGGAGGGGTCGATGATAAGACGTTGGCAAAGTCCAGTAACGACACCATTTAAAAACAAAACAACAGTTTATTAAACTAACTAAATAAAGTCTTACAAAACTCTTTAAACTTCGCGGATGAGAGAGAGAGTTTACAATAATAAGCGTTCATACCTCTTTGCATATACTAGTGGGATATTTTCCCGTAACGCCTTTGTCAGAAATTTCGTGACCTAGAAATTTGATCTGTCATTGTAGGAAATGGCATTTCTTTGGTTTTAGTTTGATTCCCGCTTCTCCTAGCCTCTGAAATATTTTGTTCAAGTCCTTTAAGGTGGCTCTGGAAGTCTGGACTAAAAGCTAAAATGTCNATCGGATGGATACTTCTGACTTAAAGGTTTCGAAAAGCAGTGCTCGGTGTGGCACAAGGTCTTCCAATTAAGGGCGTACAGCAGGTATATGGGGAAGATATGGCCCGTCTTCGTCGTTGTCCGTTCGATTGGCGACTCCCCCAATTGAAGAAGGATAAGGGTTTTTATACGTTTTGTGGTGGGAAAATTCGTCAGGTAACCATTTGTTTTAGCAGGTGTGAGGTTAAAGGTGGCGATAGAATGACAACAATATGACGAATTTCGCCCGTAATTATAAACAATACTTGGTTTGATCGTCAGAATGTTTATAATTAAATAGAAAGATTTATACTTTTCTCATGCACCTCAAATTTCGTTTCTGCAGGTGCAACTTCCTCTAGTTAAAGGAATTTATCTCAAATTTAAAGGATTAATTTCTTTTATAAAATTATATGAACTTCGAATTTCACATTTATGTTGCAGCGGCAACCATAAAAATGGACCGGTTCATTTCTTTTTAAATATCAGAAATTAGGTTGGCGAAAATTTGGCACGAGGGGAAAAGAGATTGGTTCCATTTTACTTTGTGCTTTTATCTGTGTTGGATGCCATTTCTACTTTTCTACTGTTATCATTAAAAATAACAAAACTTTTACATAGCATTTTATTGAAAACTTAAATATTTTTATCATCGTTGCACAGCGGTGGGCACACACAAAACGATCGGCGGGCGCTATGGTGCCCNTACTTTTCTCATGCACCTCAAATTTCGTTTCTGCAGGTGCAACTTCCTCTAGTTAAAGGAATTTATCTCAAATTTAAAGGATTAATTTCTTTTATAAAATTATATGAACTTCGAATTTCACATTTATGTTGCAGCGGCAACCATAAAAATGGACCGGTTCATTTCTTTTTAAATATCAGAAATTAGGTTGGCGAAAATTTGGCACGAGGGGAAAAGAGATTGGTTCCATTTTACTTTGTGCTTTTATCTGTGTTGGATGCCATTTCTACTTTTCTACTGTTATCATTAAAAATAACAAAACTTTTACATAGCATTTTATTGAAAACTTAAATATTTTTATCATCGTTGCACAGCGGTGGGCACACACAAAACGATCGGCGGGCGCTATGGTGCCCGCGGGCATAGGGTTGGGGACGCCTGCTCTAGATCGAAATTCCAAACGTTATTTTAATGCAAACGTAAAAACTCATTCAGTAATTAATGAAGAAGATATTCGGCTTGTTAAAACTTCTACTGTATTTACTAATTTGACAGGATTTAATTTTGGAATAAGGTAAAGCTGGGTGTTGGCCTGACCTAACTCTTTTCCTCTCTCCCGGGAAAGCTTTTGAGAGTTTTATTATTAATAGTCTTTTCGTATTTTTATTTAACGTCCCGACTTTATACTGTAAAAACTATTCTATTTTTCTTTAAATAAAATAAAGTTACAGTAGTTTGTTCTTACACTGGCTGGAGTAAAGATGTGTTTCTTTTCTTTATATGTTATCTTGTTATTTCACTACGTGAAACTTTTAACATCGAGGCTATTATATTGAAGTACTTTAATATAATAATCAACCAAATAAAAATTATCATATTTGTATCTATATTGCATTATTGTATGATAAAAATAATTTAATAAAAATTTTTACAAGCTTTCTATAGATGCATAATAATTACATAAGTTCATAGTAATAAAGCGTATGGAGATCTAAAGATTTTGCAGATAAAATATAAAAATTTATTAAATGAACAATACATTTTTAGTTGTAACAGTTTTATACTTTATTATATCAATAATTAAACTCGTGTTTGTGAATATGGCGGATAGAATATGGCTAATTTTCTAGCTTACTCATGGATTAACTTGCATATGGAATTGTTAAATTTTTCATTTTTCTTTTGCTTTTTGTTTTTAACATGAAAGATGTAAATCTTGTCATAATTTTTTCTTTTAATTTATGGCAATCTGGCCATATGGTCATTTTTAATATATTTGTTAAATTTTTTTGAATCCTACTGATTCAATACATTTGTTACAGATTTTTCAGGTTTGTTTTATACTTCTTATTAAATAACCATATATATTATATAATGAATTAATTTCTGCATTGTTTACAGGCATATTTACAGCTTTAAAATTTTCTGGTAAAACAACTCAGTCATTTTCTTTTGTGGGTTTTTTGATTACATCAAGAAATTCTGATAAAAACTTTTTGTCATCGTCGTCATAACTTCCTTTTGACACATTTTTAAATACAGGTAGGCCTCCTACAACGCGCTACCTTTACAACGCGTTTTCGCTCCAACGCGGTTGGAAAAATGCGGAAATTTTCTTACAACACGGTACTTTTACAACGCGGTTTACGGTATTTAGAAAGAATTATCTTCACATAACAGAAAAATCGCAACGGATCACGTGATACGAGCGGCAGTTCGGCATACTGAGCTAAAAGTCTTTGAAAACAGCTGTTTGTGGACGTTGGCATGTTATTCTCTCGAAAGTTTCAGGGGAAGACCGGTTTCTAGACAGATGTGCATCAGTTACCGTAAACACTCAAATATATCACTAAATTTTCGATCATTTATACTCTTTCAATAAGTGGGGATTGCAAAAATGGTCCAAAATACAGTATAAACTTCTATTGGGTGTATATTTTTAACAACATAGTGAAGAAAAGTTATTTTTTGCGATTTTTACTGTCCACAAAACTGATTGAAAAAATTTTAGCCATAACAATGCCGAATGAAAAGAAAGGACCGTCGTTAAAAAGGAAATTTATAACTCTTCAAAGAAATTTTGGATCGAATTAAATATCAAGAGCGGATAGTTGATATCGGTAAGCATTTTAATTTAAATGAGTCGAAGATTCTGTCGGGAGAAAAGATCAGAAATTTGGTCGCATCCAGATCATCTGTTCTTGCGAAAAATGTTGCTCGTCCGAAAGCACCTATAATCAA